AATATATATATAATATTAATTTTAATATGAATAATTATATTATATATATATAATTAAATAATATATATATATATAATATAATTTTTGTATATAAACTGACGAAAGCTTGGAACGACGTGCCGTGGAAATTAAAATTTTACAATCTTTTTGAAAACCCTGTTCAGAGTTTGAAAGAGCTGTCTATTAAAATCTTTCGATTGGAATGTGGCTATATACGTGTCGGTGCTAACTAACGAAATAAAAGAAACAAAAAAGTGACTAGAAGATATGTCTTTGTCTAATAAATAGAAACATCTGATTTCCCTATTAGTTAACAACGATCCTCTTCAACGAAATGATTCTACAGATTTTTCCTCCAAACTCGAAGAATTTCTCAAAGTTAATTTATTTTATAATTAATATTAGTTAGCACATATATTTGGAATGACATTGTTAAAAAATTCGTTTCATATTTTTTCATTAAATAATTTAAATGAATTAAAATAACCACTGCCTGTTATTATTAAAAAAATAATGAGAACCACTTTTCGATATATCTTGGATCACAATTGACGATCCATTGATATTTCACTTTCATGCCAATGTCATGAAAAATACTTCATAAAAGTACAGGGAGATGGCGCGACGCAGCCAGTTGTCCTGAGAAAAAAATATGGGAATTTCGTTGAAATAAAATCGATGGCCAGAGCACCATGGGAACACGGCGCAGTGTATGATCGATGGAAGCTTCGCGTGTCTGCGGTAAATCATCGCCAAACATTCGATATCCGCGAGTTGGCTCGAGCAGCGCGCGTGCAATATCTGTCGGAAGATTCTCTGTTTGAAATGGGTCGCAATCGCGACGTGCTGGCGAAATTGCGAATCACACGCGAGTAGGTATCCTCGGGTGAATTTTTACCACCACCGCTATACAGTTTGAAAAGTTTTTAAAGGCTAATTAGGCTTATTGGCGTTGGTTGAGATTTCAGATATTTAATTAGACGATGAGATTATTCGAAGAGAATTTCAGTTAGTATATATATTATTTTCAGAAAGCTAATTATTTCTTGGTGTTAATTGGATATTTAACGAAGATTAGACGATTATTCGAAAACAATTTCGAATGTTTAGTACTACAAGTTTCAGAAAGCTAATTATTTATCGATAGAGATTATCCAACGAAATTATTCGAAAGGAATTCTGGAAATTCTTCGCTGAATAAATTCTAACCTACACGAACATGAATTTGTCTATTACATAAACTGCAATTATATGAATTGCTTGGTCTCTCGGCTAGATTCATGTAACTGTGCTTTTGATCGTATCTTTGGTTACATAATTTACGATAACAAGTAAAATATAAAAAAAAAGCTGTCGTGCAATTGGAACGGAGAGATCTATCGCTTATATACAATGAATCGATAGAAAACGGCTGTTGTGAATGTTATCGTTCATCAGACGTCGCGTGATAGTTACAAAATGAGAACTATTCACTCTCTTTCTTTCAGTCGTAGAATATCTATACACTTCAATTTACGAGGACAAGCGTGTACAATCCTGCGACAGAGAATTTTCTGTCAGGCTCTTTGTTATTATACAACGAATCCTAAAATTCACTTTTTGAATAATAAGAACTATGTTACAAGAGTGGATCATTAAACTTTTAGAGATGCTTAGGTGGGTAATGGTTAAAAAGAAATTGAAAACCACTGACCTAAGGTATATTTTTCACAAAGAGAATTTCATTTAGCAACACAAATTGATAAATTGATCTTTTATTGTAATAAAATATTAAATTGGATAGTAAATGTTTGATGTCACATTTTTCAGAAAATTAAAAATATATTTTATAAAAACTGTTTTAGTTTACATCGTCTGCAATGGATAAAATATGAACATGTAATATGTGAGTTATATTAGTTATAATTGCATTACTTGGTGATAAGAATAGAAAGAAAGCGAAAACTATGAACATTTAAAGCACAGTATGAAATTGAAAATACAATTGATAACATAATATATAATTTTGAAATATTGAAAGGATTATTTGTTAAACTACAGAAAATATTGGACTTGCAAGTTTACTGCTAACAATTGAATATTTGCAACCTAACTTAATCTAAACCTTAAAATTCTATTCCAAAGAGTACAACTTTTTAATAAAAGGACGAATCAAAGTTGCTTAATTCATTTATAAAGAATAATTAAATAAACACCTCCATTAATATATCACTGTTGAGAACGAATTTATTACACATCTAATACATATTTTAGAAACGTTCGTTTCTAAAAAACAGTGGAAACTGAGCATAAAAGTCACAAAAATTCAAAAGTCAATATGCTGTGTAGATTCAACAGACCTAGAGGAGGAAACAAAGTATGAAAATGTGAATATCAAAGAAGCCCTAACTTAAC